TTTTCTAACATTCTAGAGGGAGGAACAAGAAGGGAGAAGGCAAGGAAAGATTAATCAAGTGGAGAGACGTGAGAATTGAGAGACTTTGAGATATTATATGCTCGTAATTTCAAATTCGTAAGAGTAAAGGAAGGGAGATCAGTTCTGGATTTCTTGTTTTGTGAATTTTTTTTTTTTTTTTTTTTTGTAAGAATTGTGTACTTCAATTTCTCTTTCAATCAAATGATCAAGTTGGTTTGTTCAAGTATGCTTAGCGAGTAGTTTTCTTTTTCTTCCTTGGGATGGGGAAATAAGGGAGATGTATGTGAAGTTTCTTTAAGGTTTAATGATGACTATTATTGAATAATGATTAAATTATCATACTTAATTTATATTTCATTTTTTCCAAGTGTAATGTTAGTATTTATTGTGAATTATGAATCTCAGAAGAGATAATAATGGAACCAACTAAGTTAATCACATTAATTTGGTGGAATAGAGATATATCCACTATATTAGTGCTAACATAATGGGAGATAGTGATGATTTAGTTAAATATTGGAATTAGGGAACTAATCTAACCCTTAACTAAACTTTCTTTTTCCACCAGAAGGGGGTAAGGAAGAGTATTGCTTCTGTTTAGCATTTGTTTATTTGATTAAGTTTCATATACATCGACTTATTAAACCATTCCAAGGGAAAACTTTTTAAATATGTGGATTAAGTTTCACTTTCTTTGTTGATAACTTAGAAATTTTTTTTAATATCTTAATTAAATTAACATTTCAGGCTAGGACTGACATTAACAGGCTAGAATTTTTCCCAATTAGAAATCATCTCGTTTCCCAAAAGCTAGGACCGAGCATTGGCGGTTCTAGCACCTAGATGCTAGAACTTTTTCCCTTATGTCGAAACCTTTTAATGAGACCTATACTTTGATCCAAGAGATGACAACAAAAAAATTTCAATGGCCTTCTGATCGAGTAAACTTTAGGAAGGTGATGACAAAGACACTCTTTTGATCTTGACTTCGCAAGTGGCGGCTATCTATAAGAAGTTAGATCAATTAGGCTTGAATCACCACAAGGGTGGTCACCCGTAATAGAGGAGAATTCATATGGATAACTGGTGGATCCTGGTGCTTTGCCCATCAAGAGCATGAATGTCATGAACAATAGGATGAATAAGCTTTATTATAAATTTTATAATTCTGGTTGGAAGAATCATCCCAATTTTAATTGAAATAGTAATAATCAAGAAATAGGAAACTAACAGGAGAGAAATAATCAAGACAATCCTTTAGGAATGTGGAATAACCAGGGTAGTAACAACTCAAGATCTCCTTACCCACCTGGTTTTAACCTAAATCAATACTTTAAGTAAAAGTTGTTTTTAGTGGAGGTAGTTTGTAAATGAGAAATCAATTGAAGAGTCAAGGTGCTTCCATTTGAAACATAGAAAGCCAATTGGGACAAATTGCAAATTCTCCAAGTAATGGACAACAAGGAATTATTTCTAGTAACACTTAAGTGAACTCTAAGGAGAAGAGTAATACACATGTGAAAGCTATTAAATTGAGAAGTGGAAGGGAATTGGAAAAAGTGACTGGGAAGGATTCTGAGGTGGTAGAAGATAACACTGAGCCTGAAAGACCAATTAAAAACTCTACTAAGGACTTAGGAGGACATGTTTCACTCCTTAGGAAGAACTTAGAAATATCATCTCCTCCATTTCCACAGAGACTTCAAAACATAAGTTGGGTCAACAATTTTCATGATTTGTGAAAGTGTTTAAAAGTTGACTATCAACATCCATTTTACTAAGGATTTGGAGTTTATTTTTAGCTATGTTAAGTTTATGAAGGATATATTGAAAGAGAAGAGAAGGTTATGAAACTTTGAGATTGTAGCACCGAGCGAGAAGTGCAGTGCTGTCATACAAAAAAAACTCTCTCAGAAACTTAAGAACCCTAGGAGTTTTATCATTCCCTGTACAATAGGAGAGAAATTTTTTAGGAAAGCCTTATGTGACTTAGGTGCCAACATTAACCTCATGCCATTGTCGGTCATGAAGAGGTTAGGATTAGAAGTCCAACCCACCACTATAGCCCTTCAACTTGTTATCCGCTCAAGTACCTATTCTAGAGGGGTTATAGAGGTTGTTTTAACTAAGGTGGATAAGTTTATCTTCTCTGCATATTTTATTATTTTAGATATGGAGAAAGATCAGGAGATTCTGATCATCTTAGGCAGACCTATCCTAGTTATTGATAGGGCGATGATTGATGTACAAAAGAGGGATTTAACTATGAGAGTAAATAATCAGAATGTAACATTTAATATTTAAAATCTATGAAATTACCTTCTGAATCAAATAGGAATTCTTATTTTAGAAAGGATATAGTGGATCAGCTTAGTAGAAGCCAAATTTAGAAGATTTGTGAAGTTGATCCAGTAGAGTAGAGCTTGATTGAGGATGATTGACATTACTATAAGGAAGAATCAACTCTACCTTTAGAGGTTAGTTTGAGGTTTCAAGGAGAGGTTTGAACTGTTGGACACCACTAGATATTTTATACCTTTATTTCGTTCCATAGAAGAAACACCTCAATTGGAGATGAAAATCCTTCCTAAATATCTTAAGAATGCTTTCTTAGGGTAGTCCTTCGCTTTACCTATTATCATATCCTCATAACTCAATAGTTTACCAGAGGGGAAGTTAATGAGAGTTTTAAAGAGTTTTAAGAAGACTTTAGATGGACTTTGACAGATATTAAGGAGATCAATCCTTCAATATGCATGCATAGGATCCTTATGGAAGAGAATTATAAACTTATGACGGGCTCTCAAAGAGGACTTAACCTTGTTATGAAAGGAGTTATTAAGAAAGAGATAGTGAAGTGACTGGATGCAGATATTATCTACCCCATTTCAAATAGTGCATAGGTTAGTCTCATTCATTGTGTACCCAAAAAAGGGGGAGTGAATGAGCATAATGAATTAATACCTACTAGACATGTCACTGAGTGGTGAATCTACATTGACTATAAAAATTAAACTCAGCCACTAGGAAAGATCTTTTTTCCTTACCTTTCTTGAACCAGAAGTTGCATAGGCTACTTTATTGTGCATTCTTCTACTTTTTAGATAGATATTTAGGGTACAATCCGATTCTTATAGCTTCAGAGGATCATGACAAGAATACATTTATGAGCAATTATGGGAATTTCGTTTTTAGGAGGATGCCATTTAGACTGTGCAATGCATCTGCTACTCTTCAGTGCTGCTTGATGCTCATTTTCTATGACCTGATTGAAAAAGGGATTGAAATGTGGCAATAATTATGGGAGGGTTGTGACAGCCACTCCCACTAGCTTTTTACCGCTCGCCTCGGTCGGAAGGGCATGGTAGCCCCTCGGTGAGGCATCCTCAGCGACCGACCTTCCGCATCGTCAAATGAGTCGACTACATCAGCCAAGTCAGATTCAGGCCTCGCCTGTTTGTCCTTCATCACCACCTTCTTCTTTTTTATTGAAGAGGGAATCTAAAACCCTACCCTCATGAGCCTCTTAGGATCCACGACGATTCAGTTCGATTTGTTAGCAGTAACGTACCTCAGTTGTGAAAATAGAAGTTGAAAACAAATAATACGAGGCTCAGTTCACATCTATTTATAGATCACATGGGGCACAAAACTCTAAGGGAAGTCTTGTCTTCAATTAATTCACAAATTTATTCAAATTTATTGCTAACAATTGTTTACAATTGTTTAATAATTTTTCCTGTCGTTTTTGTAGTTGTCGTTATCAAGAAGTAGAAAAATTCGGGGAACTAATATTTATTTACTAAAAATACTAATATGAATCTCAAAGAGAACAAAAAACCAAGAGGAAATGGCCTCCTTTCGAGGTAATCAATCAACCAACGATCCAAGGCCGAACATAAAGCCGCATCTCCAAACCCGGGATAGGTTCAAACTCTAAAGATGGTTCCCCGCTCTATAGCAGCAAAACCCGTCAAAAGTGAGGCGTGAATCATCCATGCAGTGAGTCTCATCGAATACCATGCCCCGTCTTTGTCAATATCCATTTAGGACGTTGCAGGATTTGGAGATCTAGTCTAGGCAACAAACCAACCAGGCAGATGAGACACGAGCCCTATAAGACTCAAACCAAATAGAAAATGAGCTACGCTCACTACGAAAAAAGCCAATCGATCACATTCGACTGATCAACCACACATCTGGATTGAACGACCACCTCAAAATTGAACTCTGTAAGTCGACTAAGACAAAAAATACCAAACAAGATTGTCATACGACCAAACACCTCAACCGACTAACCCGTACTTCTGAGGGCACATACGCCACTCGACCGATTGCCCTAGTCGGTTGACTTCAAACCAACCGACCAGTCAATTACCGCCAATATTGAAATTCAAATTGTAATACAAATATGTCATAAAATTTATACAATCAATTATAATCTTAATGACATTAAGAACGGTTTTCATAACTATTCACTTCTTTCTATAATTTTACAAAGCACATCTTTATAAGTACGAGATAAAAAATACAAATAAAAGGACATTTCTACTCATTCTCCATAAAAAGCTCTCGATTTTATTCTGCTCGCTCTTCCTTCTCTCATTCACTTAACTCTAACTCTCAAAACATAATCCACAAAGAACAAACTAGAATCCAACAATTATATATTATAAACTTCCTGTGAGTCTCATCCTGTATCAGTTGATATCAATGCATGGTATAGTTGGGAAGAATTAATGAATCAATCTTTATCAATCGCGGACCCAACTTGTGTGCCTATGATCATCATGTCTATTTAATGTACTAATTAGATTGACATGTGATGCATGTGGACTACATTGATGCAGCTAACAATCTATATATGATTTAAATAGATCTATAAAATCGAACTAAAGGAGGGTAGGTGTCTATATATATATATATATTAAAAAAAAGGAAAATTTATCGTATTCACGGACACGAAACTCCCACTAAATTCTTTTTGATACAATGAACTCGGCTCCTCACATCCCCTCCATCAGTCTCTCTCTCTCGTGTGGCTTCTTCTTCTTCCCCTTTTCTACTCTTTTTCCTCTATTGGAGAAAATTTTTTTTTCTCATCTCGACTTCCCTCTCTTTCCGCCACCTGTAGTCTTCTGCGCATCCCTTTCCCTCCTTGGTTTTACCCATTTCCTCTTCTCCCAACCGAAATAAGCCTTCTTCCTGCATGCAATCTTGCCATATTGAATGGGCAAGTACATAAGAAAAGCGAAGCTCGCCGGGAAGGTAGCTGTCATGGAGGTCTCAGCTCAGTCTTCTATAGGAGTTCGTACCAGAGCAAGAACCCTCGCGCTTCGTCGCCCACGGAAACCGTCCTCCTCCTCCTCCTCCACCACCACCACCTCTGCAGTCGACAATTCATCATCATCTTCTTCCTCCTGCTACCTTCAGCTCCGCAGTCGCCGCTTGCAGAAGCCCGCCCTTAATTTCATTCATAATAAAATCTCAGAGTCCAAGATTTGTGCTGACGTTCAGGCCTCGCCGGAGGTGGACGGAGGAGTCGAGACATCGTTTGGGGAAAACGTTTTGGACTTCGATTGTCGGGATAGGTTGGCTCGGCACTGAACTTTGTGAAACTAGGGTTTATTTTCCTTTGATTATATGTTTCTTCTTTCCATATTTCGCTGATTTTGTTGTCAAGTATTAATTTTGCAACCCCTTTATTGTTCCTCGTTTTTTGGTTGATTTTTTGAAAATTGAGGACTTTGTTTTGTTTTAGATGGAAGATTGCTTTCTGTAGTTCTAAAAATTGTTGGCTTTTCATCCTAGATATCCTCTGTTCTAATTGCTTTATTTAGCTTGAGCGGCCAGCTCTTTTCTCTTGGTTAGAGTATATGTCTCCTGGCTTGTGAGAAATCTGGTTCTCATGCTTCTAAATTTCTTCATCTCTCTCTCTCTCTTCATTTTAGATTATTTTTTTTCCTGGGGTGAAGAAAGCTTACATCTTTGTTACTATGGATTTATAAGTTTCTTTACATGACTTTAAATTCACATTTTTTATGGATATTGCATACACAAGCTTTCCAATTTCTGCAATTTTGTCTTTGCTGTTCAGTTTCTTTTCATATATAATGGCGCAGTAGGGGCCTCCTCCATGGTTCTTTTGTGTCCAGTTGTTTTTTACTATATTTGAAATGTATGAAACTGTTGTTATTTTATTTGTTTCTCTATGCAAAAAACTTTTCTGTTTGAAATAATTTAAAAGGAAAAAAAATGTTTTGCAGATTTAATTTTTTGAGGAGCTTACATACACATGTAAGGTGTATAAATAGCATCAAAAGCATATGCATTAGAAGACTTCTTTCACTTTAAATAAGTTCAGTTCATCTCAGTTGCATTTTTAATGCAGTTAAAGATTAGTGAATTATATAAGCAAATATAAAAATTTATATTGATACCACTAAATTCCTATGTATTTACATATTTAACCTAAAATTTACTTTTTTACCTTTGTACCACACAAATCTTTCATATTACATCAAAAAACACAACCTTTTTTAATTTCTTAAAAGCAAAATACACCTTTTCATTCATAGTTAAGGTGGCATGCTCCTAGAAAATAAATTATACTTTTTAGACATGTTAATACATAGGAATTGAGGTGTGTGTGTGTAAATCTTCCTATTTTCTTATGATTTATAGGTGGTTTTTCATTTTTGTTTTCTGTGTTGTACTCAAATTGACAAAAGTTGGTGTCTTGTGAGACATTTCTGAACTGGAAAGGCAAAAGTAGCTGGACAATATTTAAAACACTATGCCTTTCCCATGGTTTTTCATCAGTTGGTTCCTGCAGGACTTTTTGTATTCTTAAGCTGCTTTATTATGATTGATAAATGAGAGTAAGCCTTTATATGAGTTAATAATTGTCCATTATGTAGCTCTGATAACATTTATGTAGTGGAGAATCTGTGGAGTTATTGCAGCCAAAAAATGAACTTATATTGGTTGTCCTCTGCCTGACCATTATGAGAAGCCTATCCAGCATGGTTAAACATAGTGATAAAATCTCTGCAGGGTTGGCCCATTCAACGTTTGGCCTATATATAGTTTTTTGTCCCATGTGTTCAAAGAACTCCTTCAGTTTAGCTTTATCTGCCTGAAAATTTACTTCTGATTTGCTCATGTGACTCTGTTTTGGATGTTAATTGTTAGGAAGATTTGCGTACATACCAATGAAATACTCTGTATTTACATGTCTAACACCCATACTTGTTTTTACATTTATGCTGCCTTACCTATGCATGCGTTTCACTTTTTAGAAGTTATAATAGTGGTATTTTTACGTGATATGAAATATTTTAGTGGTATAAATGTAAAAAAACGAAGTTCAGGTGTTAGATATGCAAGTATTTGAGCAAAAATTTGATAGAATGCAGGGAGTTTACAGTTTTTTTAATGATGAGTTTGAATCTCTGATATGTTCGCTCCGTCTGTTTCAGGAATGTGAGGGAAACCACACCTTGCAGTTTGATAAGGAGTTCTGAAACTATTAGGACTCCTGGCTCTACCACTAGGCTAACTCCAACCACAAATGCCTTTAACCGTAGTTTACGGAATGCTGTGCATCAGAACATTCCAAACCCTCGTGAGATTGAAGAGTTTTTTGCTGGGACCGAGCATCTACAACAGAAAAAATTCATGGAGAAGTATTGATTCCTTAATTAATTTTACTGTTTTTCTTGTCTTTGTAGCATGTCTTACATTTTTCCAAAAAAAAAACTTGAAGTTTACCAATATTTTGAATGGATACAATTGGTCGTGATGGTCTCAAAGCTATTGGATTTGTCTTGAGATAGAGTGCAATTCAAATTAGGGGAATTTACATGCATATCACACAATTCCTATGTATTTACAAGTGTAATATTTATGTTCATACACTCAAACCTTTTTAACATCACATAAAAAATTCCACTTTTACGTTCATACACTCAAACCTTTTAACAGCACATAAAAAATTCCACTTTTATTAACTTTTTAGGAGTCAAGTGCATCATTTTATGCCACCAACAAATGATCAATGTAAATATTAAATTTTGGCTGTTAGATATGTAAATTCATAAAAATTGCATATGTAAATTTTCCTTCTCAAGCAAATCCAACAGTTTGAGATTCATCTTATCAGAATATATTGTGTTCAATAGCTTTGAGACCAATCACTGCGAAATCTATTTCATGATTTCATTCATGCAATCTCATTAATAATGAAAACTTATGAACCAAGTCCTGTATCTTATCCAATATTGTTTTTGCAGGTATAATTTTGATCCCCTGAATGATTTTCCCCTTCCCGGTCGATATGAATGGGTGAAGCTCGACTCTTAGAACCCAACCTTCCTCCATCAAAAGCTTCTGCTTTCATCCACGTCCAGTCTTCCATAGAAGCCTGACCTCATAGTGGTAATTTAAGATAATTATTACCTAAGTGTAAAGAAGCAATGGATTTCCCAAGGTTTGAAATGCCAATCCAACGTTGTGTATAGTATGCAGACTGTGCTTCTGTAGCTGTAACACTTTTAGCATTTAGGACCACCTAACCAAATATGTTAGAACTCGCTTGGTTCTGTAACTTGTTGCATGTTGGTGTCTGAAAGTTCATTGGGAAATAAACGTTGATCTTCTTATGTTGTTTATCTTGCATTCACTGTATGAGATTGAATATTGCGGCCTTCTTTGTTTTGTCTTGATTTCGTTGGTGGCAATTTTTTCTTTCTTTTTTTTTTAGTGCTTTATTGACACTCTGGAGCCTATTTGTGCTATTTGCGAAAAGAAAAAGAAAGGATTAAGTGTTAGATATTTATTTACATAAGAATTCAGTGGTGGTATGTTTGTAAATGCTCTTTTTTTTTTTTTTGGAAATCTACATGTATATCTTACAATTTGTTGATATTTTAATATCTAGTACTTGGAATTTTTATATTTATAACATTCTAGTGTGAAAATTTATGTATGAAAAAGGTTTAATTAATTTTTTTAAAAGTTGGTGATAGTAGCATTGATATTGGATTTAATTTAAGTTATAATAGGAAAGTAAATATTATTATTAAAAAAAGTAAATAGGAGATTACAACTAGACATATCTAAGGTGGTGGTAGAGGGTGTTTGGTGTTTGGTGTTTGGGGTTTGGGGTTTGGGGTTTGGGAGAAGTGTCGGTGAGGAAGTGGAGCAAGGGGGTGAGTACAACGAACGCATAGTAGATGCTTGTTGTCCTAGATAACAACACTCAAGTAAGATGGTCGGGCAGCGGTGAAACAACAAGGTGATAGAGTTGCAGGGTTATGATAACGATGCAGGATGGCTGGGCAGCGGTAAAACAACAACGCGACGGAGTTGGGGGGTTGTGACAACTATGCAAGACAGTTGAGAAGGCCTGAATTGATGTAAGAGAGTTGTCTCGAGCGGCAACACCAAGTTGTGGTTGGTCCGGAGCAACAACATCAAAATATGGGAGGTTTATTTGTGCCGATAACAAGGTGCAGTGGTAAGTGGGGTTCATGGAAAAAAGGCCACAAGTTTGAATGGTGGAATGTGATAAGTGGGGTTCATGGAAGGCAGTCATAAGTTTGAATGGAGAAATGTGGGGTTTGGAAGGCGTACAAGGTAGACTGCAGATAAGCAACCAAGAAGGGTTGTTTCTGGGCGGCTGCAGCTAGCATGGCAATGATGAATACGAACAAAGAGATCACTAAGGGTAGTCATCATCTCAGAACGATGTACAACCGAAGCACCACTCGCTTTTGGATACAATTATAGAATGAAAAATCGTAAATAAACGGCTGTCCCGACATAAAACATAATAAAAATTAAACCTAAAGCATCATAAAAGGAAACATATAGCAATATAATAACTATAAATAGTTCAAGAAGACCGACTGACTCCACGATAGTGAAAAAAAATCTGAACTGGTCTGGTCCAAGTACGAAAGTATAACGCTGCTTTCTGTTGCTAGAACTTCCGCACGGGTTGTCTCCATCTTAAAATATTTTTGCTATGCATATAAATATTAAAGTCCGAGTGCTATACATATAAATCCATAAGAATTTCGTAATATGCATGTAATTTTTTTCATGTCTGCTTATAAATGGTGTGGTTTCACAGCTCCTGAAATGGTTAAAAATACACTCATGATGTCTGCAGCAGTTTGTGCATGGAAAATATGCAGCCTCTCTTTCAGTAGTCTTTCTCGGGAAGAAGCAATCCAAGTAAAATTTGTTTCGTAAATGTTTGGAATTTAAAAATGTTTTTAATTTCTCATCTTCTGTCAAAGGCAGAACCTGCGCACGAGGGGCCTGCTGGGTTGATTGTATTGTTGTCTGTAGACATGCTGAATTTAAAAAGTTGATTTTTTTTTTCTTTTTTGTGGGGGTGTTTGCATGCATATCCAACATATAAATTTTCATGTTGTTTATATGCAAAATTTTAAGAAAACATATTGTTATAAATCTAAATATCAAATTTTAGATGCTAGATTTGTAAATGCACAAAAATTGTGAAATTGTGTGGTATGTATGTAGTTTATTTCTTTTTCTCCTTTAGGTGTTTGATTGGGAAAATAATTGCGTGCATAAGACGTACACAGCGCTGCGTACGTCAGGTGTTATTCCAGGGATACAGAGGAGTTATATCCGGGTTATATCCCCTGTAACCTCCGTGTAACTCCCTTGTAACTTCCTTGTAACTCCCTTGTAACCTCCGTGTAATTCATTTGTACCTATGAAACTACAAAAGCTCGGAACTCATTTGTAGGTTACATGTAGTTTACAAAGAGATTACAGAGGGGTTATAGAGGGGTATAACCCCGATAGAACCCCTCTGCACCCCCTGCATAACCCATGGACGAACGCAGCGTTGAGTATGTCTTATGTATGCAAATATTTTCCGTTTGATTGAGTGTAAAATGATTGTAGAGTAATAGTTTTAGGCATGGAGGCTTTATTTTTTAGGATTGGGAAACTCACTAAATGACTAATTGTTTTTAATTATTGTGCAATAAAATATATGGAGGTTGGGGTGCCGTTGCGCAAAATTACCAATTCGCTAAATTACGTAAGAAAAAAAATAAGAAATTAATCATCCTGCAAATCGTGAATTTCTAGCACGCATCGCATCGCATCAAAATAAGTATTTCTTTGATCATCACACTACATAAATTAGTTTTCTAAGAAAAAATAAAAATTTTATGAAACAAATCAGTATTGCCTACATTGCTATTTAAGAAATGTTTTGTTCAGTTATGAATGAAAAAAATGGATATGGGTATGTTATATTGTATCGAGCCCCCTCACATGATAATGATCGAACTAAACATTTTGATCCTCGTGTTGGATGAGTTGATAGAGGGTTGTTATTGATGTTTGACTAAGCTATATAGTGATGAGTAGAATAAATTGTTTTGTATCAATCAATTCACGTGTGATATGCCTCAAGTTCTTTGGTGATAATGGACCGATGGTCACGTCGCCCTCCGTTGATGTGTATGGCGACGTGATCGTCGGTATTTGGTCTTTCGGACGTGCAATGCCTGGACAAAGTATTTTCTCGTAATAATGACGGATCGCGTTTGGATCATAATGGATTGAAAATGGATTTGGCATAAGTTAAAAAGCCTCCAATCAACGTGCTCATTAGTCGATATAATCCAAAGTGAAGACAAAAAAGTATTATAGATGGACATATTATTATGCTTGGCATGCATGCACCAAGCCATGATTAACATGACTATAGATGACCTATCTAAATTATATGTTTTTTGAGACATTTAAATAATATAATTTCAAAAACACGCTTAATTTTTATGTATTTACATATTGAACACTTCAATTCAATATATATATATATATATATATATATATATATATGCATGCAAAGTTGCAAGGAAAGTTATTTTTGGAAGTAAAATTTAGGTGGTCGACATGTAAATACATAAAAATTGGGGGCAATGCATGCAAAGGCACACCAACATTAAAGTAATAAGGTGTGCTAGAGTTAGGTGCTGCGAAACAATGGAGGAACCAGGTGGATCGGCAGCGCCGACTGCAATAGTAGCGGCTCTGGTTTCAGCTAAGCGGTCGTCGGGGAAAACCTTTGGGCAAATTGCAGCAGAAACGGGTCTGACTAATGTCTACGTGGCCCAGCTTTTTCGGCGACAAGCTCAGCTCAAGCCGGACACTGTTGCTTCCCTCCGTTCCGCCGTCCCCGCACTCACCGGCGACCTTATCTCGGAGATGATGGCTCCGCCCTTCCGATCCTACCGCCCCAACATCATCCAAGAGCCCGCCATTTATAGGTATAATTTTCTTCTTTTTGTTTTTTGGTTCTTCTATGGCTAGGTTTACTAATCTTTCTCATCGAAAGGGTTTCCGATAGATCATAGATTGATTCAAATAGGATTTAGTAAATCTTGTAAAACTAGATTTAGTAAATCTTGGGATGAAAATTACTTGTCATTGACTGCTATTAAATTCTATAATTATATTTGATTGTTTATTTGGAGTTCTATTTTAGGTATGAGAAGTAATTGTCATTGAATGAGATTTCTTAAAATAGTATAATTTGAAGCCCTTGAAATTTTCTTTTGCGTGATTGAAGCTGATTTTTTTTTGAATCTGGCCTAAGAAAGAGTACCGGACATCCTCTTGTATTAAGTGATTGAAGGGGAAACATAAGTATGAGGAGATTGGGAGTTCATCTGATCTTTTCTTCATTTCTATTGTTATATTTTTTTCTCAAATTCTGTTGGATTTCTTTTGTGAAATGATTCCTTTACCGCCTTGGCGGTGTGCTGTAAATCGAACTTTGACAATCCTTGCAAGTCTCAGGGTTTGTTTGGGGCAACTGCAACTTATTCAGCTTATCCATATAAGCTGCTAATCAACAACTAATCTAGATAAACTGACCGACTGTTTGATTTGTGTGTTTAGAAATCAGTTGATTTGCAATTATTTCTGGATAAATGAATATTTTGTCTCTGATCTGGATAAACTTTTTAGCTATCGGTTTGTGCGTTTGGAAAAAAGCTAATTTGCAGCTATTTATGGATAAATGATTATTCTGCCACTGTGCAATTGTGTTGTTTCTAACAAAATTATAATGACTATACATTTGATAGTTTAGAATAAAAAAAATTACTTCATAATAATATGAAAAATGGTATACACTCCACTTAAGAGTGAGTATCAAGAAACCTAATAAAAAAGAAAGAACATATTAAAATTACAATTAAAAGTATGATAATATTCATTTTAAAATGTAGAAGAAGCATGTCATGAGCAACGTTGTCTGGTTTGGATATCTTCGAACCCTGATCACTACTGACAGTGGAATCGGTCGGACTTTCTGCCCACCTGAAGAACTTACATCGCCTGCCAGCAAGGACATCTGTAGAACTGTCGCTTGTAGCTATGTGATCGACATGACGTGAGTAATAAAGACGAAAGTGTGCAGTGACAAAACTTGCCCGAAGTTCCTCGAAAACCTAGAACTCATTTTTCTTCAATAATTCAAGAGAGAGCATGTCAGTCATAAAATTAAATGAAATAAAAAAATTATGGAAATTGAAAATAAGAAACAATATTAAATAAAAAAAACGAAAATTTGATTAAAAAAAAAGTAGATGTGAGGACTCAGCGAACTCACCACACCAACCAACGAATCTGTCACTATAATACAACAGTTGATCTTATAAAGAAATGAGTTTTTGATTGTCTTTAACCCACATATAATTAGCATCCCATGTGTTACATGTGCATATCACCAAAAAAAAGTCATAGAGAGTAGCATAAAAACCCGTTACTCCGAAAAAAATAGAGGTATTTGGTTGTCTTAATCATGCATATGCACAAAAAAACCATCCAGAAACGCCTCATAAATCGATGCTCCGAGAAGAAGAAAACTACTTAATCGTCTTCATTGGGATTTCATATGTAATATAACCAACAACGAGCAATAGGTCGCCCAGAAGAACCAATAAGGTCCAAAGTCTCATCATGTACCCCACAAGCCCACAAAAAAAAAAAACATATAAAATCCAAACATAAAATAAAGAAAAAGCAATTACAAAAAAGTTTTAAATCCAAAAATATTTGTGATATAATTGAGATACAGTAAACATAAAAGTTCTTAAATTAACAAGACAGACCCATTCAAAATTGAAAATTGTCATCCGTTGTCTGCTCTAATGTTGTCATCTCCGATGCACCTTCACCGTCTGGTGTGTGAACATCTTGTGATGTCATTTGTAGCTGTAGTATGGACTGTCCCACATGGAATTCAAATGCTTTTGGTGGGAGCTAGAGCTGATCATCTTTTGCGAGGGTGAAGTCTACATCTGACCTTGAGGGGTGTTGTCGAATTTAGTTTTGTAGTGTTATAGTGGCTACTACTATCTGCGCTTGCTTCGAAAATCGATAAGTTGACATATCATGTAATATTACCCACCTATTCTTCCATACTTCGAAGGATCTTTCGATCACACTTTGTAAGAAAAATTGCCTCTTGTTAAACATTCCGTTCCTACTGTGTGCAACCCCATTGGATCATTCAAAATCGGGAATGTGGTACTTTGTATCAGAGCATGACTCCAGATAACCACACTGTAAAGGATATCCAACATCCACCAAGTAATATTTATCTGAACAAATACGTCATTTAGTAATGAACCAAAAATACCGAACGTGTCTTCTATATGTACATATCTTGAAATGAGTACGGGAAGCAATTTCTTTGGTTTCTGGTTGCAAACTTAAAAACATGACTATCGTGTGAGCTGTCCTCCCATCCAGCTATAATAAAAGTGAAGCATGTGTTAGTCACACACATTTATCACACATTGGGTGGGAGCGCCATAGCGTCTAATGTAGACGACCTCTGTACTGGATAACGTGCATCGACGTGCGTTCCGTCAATAGCTCAAATACTATTCTGTCTTATTAGATATAGTTCATTACGATTTCACATGTAACTAATGTTGATGTATGAATGATATTTGAAAAAAATAACTTGTAGAACAACCTGTATCGATCGTCATTTGCAATGTGTAAGAATGAACTGGAATGTGGGATCCTCAGACATAACTATCTCAGATGCCATACTTGGGGTTCGATCGACATTGGAAATGTAGTACTCATATAACAACGTAAGAATAAGGGCAACTTTTCTGCTAAAGTTCAATTGTTCTGGATTCATCTTTCAAAAGTTTTGAAAAGGACAATGTTAAAAACTTAACATAGAGGAACTTAAGCCATTTGAAGAAAGCATAGAACATCTGAAAACAGGATATAATGATCACTAATATTATGATAAAAACATACTGATTGTGCGTCCTAGAAAGGAAGTAAACAATCTATGAAACAAATTTCAAAGATTGTTAAGAAAACAAATTGATAATATCTCAAACAATCATTTGTCTATGAAAGAACGTGAATAATCGACTCGGAATTCTGGATTCATCTTCATAAAAAACTGTCTGCGGGTTGGGTCTTCTAGCAACTTCAAGTAGTTCATATAACCTTATTTTTTCGCCCTAAGTCCAGGATATGTATTTAGGACTCAAAGACAATCATCAATGAAGGTGTTCTGTGAGGCACCGTGCTTAACTGTGCAGGATTCAGCCAGTCTTGTTATTGTAGCTCTGATGAGCGCGGTCCCTTTTTTTTCTTCTCTTCACTTTGGGCCGCTTTGACCTGCATGTGGATTCAACATCCTTGTCAATTTGACTTGGGAGTTCTCCTGAGTCACTAACCTGCTCGGTTCTCATTACCTCTGGTGAGCCGACAAACCTCTGCTTGCTTGGGGTGAGAGCATGAGCTCCCGTTGCGACAAATCTACGGAACATGCCATACAACTTCTCTTCCAAAACCAAATCAATGCCACTGAATTTGAATTTTCTAGCTGCCTACACTGCTTGCAAGATATAATAACTTTTACTAGCTATACTAACTTAGTAGGATAAAGAATGATAAAAGAATTAATTATTGGGTAAGTCATTACATCTAATTTCTTAGTCCACGAATCCTCTGGAGTATTTATTGTCCGTTTCACTGGATTCCAACCCAATCCCGTGGATCCCCTTTTTAGTTCTTACCATATTTTTCAATCATTCTTTAATTAATCTCACTTTTTCTTAAATTTCATCATAAAATAATCCCTTCTTGTCAATTCTTTGAATTTAACCATAAATTATGTCACCCTTCTTTGTTAAAATATGTGGTGTCTATTTTCCAGCTCGACTTCTCTAAGAAAGAGTTCACTAAATATAACGGTGACTTTTCTATCCTATATGACCAATGATCCTACCTCTTTGGTCTTACTCATTGCGTTACTGACAAATTAAAGTGAAAGCATGAAAAACAAAGCAAGCGGTGATATAAACATCTAATATTGAACCACAAAATAAATCTACCAGTGATATAACCAAAAAACTTTAAGCTAGAAAAAAAAAGATGCAAAGTCACCAATTTCATCTCCCACGACCACCAATACACACTCACGCACATCCAACACCAACCCACGCACCCAAGGCCAGCAGAACACACACCCAAAGCCACCAGAGCTTCCAATTTCATCATCACAGCTACCAACACACACTCACACACATCCAACACCAACCCACATAGCCAAGGCCAACAAAACGCACACCTAAAGCCACCAGAGACACCAATTTCATCTCCTACAGCCACTAACACACACTCACACACATCCAACACACACACCCAAGGCCAACTGAACACACCAAAGTCACTAGAGCCACCAACAACCTCCAAGACACACTCACACACGTCCAAAAACAACCCACACACCCAAGACCAACATAACACATAGCCAAAGTCACAAGACCCACCGATTTCATCCCCCACAACCACCTACACACATTCACACACATCCAACACCAATCCACACACCCAAGGCCACCAGAGACACCAATTTCATCACCCACAACTATCAACATACACACACACACTTCCAAGGCTAGCAAAACACACACCCAAAGCCACCAGAGCCATTAATTTCATCTCCCACATCCACCAACACACACTCACACACATCCAACACTAACCCACACTCCTAAGTCCAACAGAACACACACCCAAAGCCAACAGAGCCAACAAACACATCTCCCACAGCCACCAAACCACACACTCACATCCACCACCAACCCATACACCTAAGGCCAGCAGAACACAAACCCAAAGCCACAACAACCACCAAGCACATCTCCCACAAGAACAAACCACACACATTCACATCTGCCACCAAACCACACACTCACATCCACCACCAACCCACACA